GAGAGAAGAGAAGAAGAGGTCTCGAGGGTGGAGACTTCATCTGCATCAAGTGCACGAGCCTTCATCACCTGCCACACCACCTGCTCGTGACTTGAGACTCCACCTCATCGACGAGAACCTCAACTTCAAGGAGGTTCTAGCATGGACCGAAACTTAGGAGCCATCGTCCGGCTCACGACGTGAAAGAAGCGCTTGTTGGGAGGCAACCCAACCAGTCGGTTTGCATTTCTTTCTCTATTTATCCTCGGTTGAGTCTGTTTTGTTATTTGATTTTAGAGTCAATAACTCAACCTTTGTGAGATTTTGTGTGGTGTTTGTGTTCTGATTACTCTCTCTTTCTGGGATGCACCGCCTGACCCGTTCATCATCATTCACCCTTGATCTGGTAACTTCGTTCTACCCTCCTTATCTTTCCTCCATTGAGGACAATGTCGTGCTTAAGTGTGGGGGGTGTTCGATTATTTATGCGGGTGAATGTTTGGTTGTTTGTGTGCTTGGAGCCTAGTCCACTGTCCAAATTTTGAAATTTGAGGGCTCCAAGTACGTGTTCCTTGCAATTGCCTGCTCAGTATGCTTTGAATTGACAGTCTTTATAGTAATATGCAACCTAGGGAGGTAGTGTAGCACTATGGAGGATGTTGATGCATTTAAGAAGTCTCATTGCTTCTTCATATTGTGTTGGTTGATTGAGTGAATTAGTGATCTTAGGACCCTTGAATTGTGTGGTGTTGTGGATTCTCTACCTGTCATGGACTCTTGTATCATGTTTTGAGTTTAACAGGTGCTCGAAAATGTGCTTCAAAATAACGTCTCCCGTGCGAATAGGGCGAAAGTGTGTAAGGGGAGACGGGAATTCGTTCCCAATTTCCACCTACTACCTCCAGCCCCCTTACATGTCTTTCCCCTGCACGAGGCTCGAGACATCCGCTCCTGGCATGGCCGGTAAGAGCAGGTTGGGACCCTTGAAAAAAAAAAAAATAACAGAAAACATGCAAAACAGAAAAGAAAAGGGGTTCCAACCATCTTCAAGAAGAAAATAGAGCACCTTGAAAAATGTGAGTCCATGATCTTTTGTTTTTGAGAATCTCTTCATCCACAATTCATTTGTCCTCTGTTCACTATTTGCCATGATGCCGACTCGATACTAGTGCTCTCGCCGAAGAAGCTATGAGATGACTTGTGTTTCGGTTGACCTCGTAAGTTGCTAAATGATCTAGGAAGTCCTCTACCTACGATCTGTGGTGTTTGTTGCTATAGAGGTCTGGAGAGTTGCATTGGTTTGAGTTAGGTTTGCTTGGGGACAAGCAAACGGTTAAGTGTGGGGGAGTTTGATAGACCGTCATTTACACATGTTTTTTTCCCCATTCTTACACCGTTTGAGGTGTTGATTCTCGTGTTTTAGGCCGATTTCACGGTAGGTTGTGCTTGTTTGTGATATTTCAGGTCCTAGGACGTGAATGAAGGCTTAGGAGCGAGTCTGGGGTCGATTGGACGAGGATCGGACGCATGGCGAGGTTCTGAGGAAGTCGCACGGGCACACCCACAACCCGCACGGCCGTGCAAGTGACCAGTTTGGCCGTGCGGGATCGTGCGTGGGCACGCACGGGATTGTGCGTGGCCACGCACGGCCGTGCAAGTGACCAGTTTGGCCGTGCGGGATTGTGCGTGGGCACGCACGGGCACAAGTGAAATCCGCACGGCCGTGCAACATACAATTCTGGCCGTGCGAGTTGGCTGAGGTTCAACTAATTGATACGCCGCGTTTTGAGGTGCACGGCCAGAATGATGATGTGCACGGCCGTGCACCCTGGCCGTGCGAGTCGGGAATGACTGTTTTTAACCCAAATTCGAGCCAAAGGAGAGGAGAGCTGGGGTTTTGGATCCCAAACACCCAAGGGACGAACCCTAGAGAGAGAGAGCGACTTGGAAACTTTCTTGGAGCTATTTTGGAGGATTTCTTCGCCATTGGAGCTCGGGAATCAAGCTTGGAGATGGAGATTGAAGATCTAGATCAGATTTCTGCAGTCTCTCTCTTCTCTATGGAGTAACTTCCCTTCACTTAGGTTTTGAGGAACCCTAGTTCCATGAGTTAGGATCTTTCTTGTATGAAGTTTTGGATGCTTTATTGTTTGATTATAATCGATTGAGGCATGATTTATTGAGTCAATTGGAAGTCTGATCAAATTCTCTTGATTTCTGCTTTAACCTATGATAGATAGAATCTGATTAGGTTAAGAGAGCTTCCTTGATTGATAGTAGTGAATTGGTTGTGCGAGAGTCAATCAATTCACTGCTTTGTACTGGAATTCATTCCAGTAGTGGAGATCTGTGTGAATCGCCTTAGCAGTCTATCCCGGTGAAGGCTAGTCGCCTGCCGGGTATTCTGTCTGAGAGGGCTTGGTCAGCTTAAGAGATTCCAAGCAAATTTAGGATCTTCCGCAGTTTAATCAACAGTGGATCAACCAAAGGTAATTGCAACTTGGACCTAATTGAGGAGCTAGGGGGAATCATACCTAAGTGAGTTCCCAAACTGTAATTAGTAGTTTTACTTAGTTTAGTTAGTAGAGTAGTTTAGTTAATCAATCCTTAATCTAGTTTGCTAGATAATGAACTGAAGCTGAGTAATAGTAACTCTAGAGACCCGTGGATTCGATATTTATTACTTGTGCCACTATACTGTAGTCCCTTTCATTGGTTACACTTGGCCATTGTTAGGTGTTGTGTTTTAGAGCATCAAGTTTTTGGATTCCCCCTAGCTCCTCAAAAACTTGACACGCTAAAACACAACACCAATCTGCGACCAAGTGTAATCGCAGACCGGGAATGCAGTAACAGGCAAGTTATATTATCAACCCGGGGGTCTAGATCTACTGCTTACTCAGTGATTCTCTGTTATCTAGCCAACTAGAGTAAGTGATTGTTGTTTAAACTAAAAAGCAGAAATAAAGCAGGAAATTATTCGGTTTTCTTAAGCAGGAAAGAGTCACTCGGGAATGAATCCCCCTAGCTCTTTAGTTAGGTTTCAATTGCAATTTACCCTGGGTTGATTTACTGTTGATTAGACTGCGGAAGATCCGGCAGTAGCTTGGAATCTCTTAAGCTGACCAAGCCCTCTCAGTCTAACTACCCGGCAGACGACTAGTCTTCACCGGGATAGAAAGCTGAAGCAGTAAGAACAGAAATTCACTACTGGAATTAGATTCCAGTACAGAGCAGTAAACTGGCTAACTCTCGTATAACCAGTCTCCTACTATCGAATGATGAGACTCTAGCAACCTAATCAGATTCTATCTATCATAGGTTAAAGCAGAAATCAAGAGAATTTGATCAGACTTCCAATTGACTCAATAAATCATGCCTCAATCGATTATAATCAAACAATAAAGCATCCAAAACTTCATACAAGAAAGATCCTAACTCATGGAACTAGGGTTCCTCAAAACCTAAGTGAAGGGAAGTTACTCCATAGAGAAGAGAGAGACTGCAGAAATCTGATCTAGATCTTCAATCTCCATCTCCAAGCTTGATTCCCGAGCTCCAATGGCGAAGAAATCCTCCAAAATAGCTCCAAGAAAGTTTCCAAGTCGCTCTCTCTCTCTCTAGGGTTCGTCCCTTGGGTGTTTGGGATCCAAAACCCCAGCTCTCCTCTCCTTTGGCTCGAATTTGGGTTAAAAACAGTCATTCCCGACTCGCACGGCCAGGGTGCACGGCCGTGCACATCATCATTCTGGCCGTGCACCTCAAAACGCGGCGTATCAATTAGTTGAACCTCAGCCAACTCGCACGGCCAGAATTGTATGTTGCACGGCCGTGCGGATTTCACTTGTGCCCGTGCGTGCCCACGCACAATCCCGCACGGCCAAACTGGTCACTTGCACGGCCGTGCGTGGCCACGCACAATCCCGTGCGTGCCCACGCACGATCCCGCACGGCCAAACTGGTCACTTGCACGGCCGTGCGGGTTGTGGGTGTGCCCGTGCGACTTCCTCAGAACCTCGCCATGCGTCCGATCCTCGTCCAATCGACCCCAGACTCGCTCCTAAGCCTTCATTCACGTCCTAGGACCTGAAATATCACAAACAAGCACAACCTACCGTGAAATCGGCCTAAAACACGAGAATCAACACCTCAAACGGTGTAAGAATGGGGGTAAAAACATGTGTAAATGACGGTCTATCAAACTCCCCCACACTTAACCGTTTGCTTGTCCCCAAGCAAACCAAGTCAGACACTAGGTAAGCCTACACATTTCAATCAACCAACATTGGGGACAAGTCATAAAGGCACAGAACACGTGAATTGCACTGGTTTTCAAACATCAATACATGCACAACCTCAACCACAACCTGGACAACCACCACAAAGGACATTCGAGTGCAGCAAATCGAGTAAAGGAAGAGTCTCCCTTCTGTTCACTGGCCAACCTAGACTTGATTCAACCACTTACTCAAAACAGTCAACTCATGCATCCAACTCAAGACATCAGAATAGAGACCGAGCAATCTAGGTCCTCACCGGGGTACAAGAGCATATAGAAAATGAAAATGAATCACTCACTCTCGACCAGTGGGGTCAGGACAATTTGATGCGAAAGATGCGCATGCTATTTCTCTCAATCCCTATCATCTCTTCACCATGATGGCAGCCTCTAAATGCTAGAGTTCACATATGAGGTGTCACCACTAACTAATCAGGAGGTCTTAGACACAGGTTCAAATGACTGGCTAGGGTCTTGGACATGGGGAAAAGGCCTTTTAGGTGGTGGAAGTATTCATAGCAAAAGGTTCCACATTTTCCAAACACACAATCACAGTCAAACAAACCGGTATTTTCTTTCTGCTATTCTGCATTACTCAATATCTTAAGAACACAAGAGCGAAGGAGGCATAAACATCAGCATTTCCAAGCCAGACTGCTAAGAAACACTACTTACGGGGCATTATTCAGATTTTTGGTAGTGGCTCTCTTTTACTTTCAATTTTTTTTCTTTGTTTCACTTTCATTTTTCTTTTCATTTCTTAAGAGAGCCACCACTCCTGCACATATTTCAAACATCCGCCCAACTTTTAAGCACTACCTCCAACACTCACATAGACTTTAGCAGAAACAGCAGAGAATATATAAAAACCACTCTGTGGAACCTTCTAAAAGATGCAACAAGGGTGATTTCTTTTCATTATAGACCAAAAGAAAGGATAACACACGGCTCAAAGGGGCTGACTAGGGGATATGACACATCAGGACAGTCAGTTTTGGGCGTGGGCTAATCCTATGCCCCCATCATCTCAGCTAGTGACAACGTGAATGCTACACATCATGGAAGAGGGATCTATCGCACAAGAAAGAAACGAGCAGGCTCAAATCTCACATGGCTACCTATATGCTCTATCTCATATTCTGCTACCCTGAACTAGATGCATAAACGACTGTTAAGAACAAGTAATCAGATCAAGTCAGATCAAGTCACAGTTGGCAAGCAAACAGTTGAAAAACTGAACCCCTACATCGTTCTACTGCACATCTCAGTCCTCATCATAGGTTGTCCTAGTCGCAAACAAGTTGTCATGCATTAATCCGAAAACCAATCAATTCATCCATCAAAACACAGTGCCAATATGATCAAACAGCAGTACTTGGAGCCCTCAAATCGTAAGATTCGGACAGCGGACTAGGCTCCAAGCACCATCATAAATATTCCAACCGATACAAAGCATCCCCCCACACTTAAGAACGACATTGCCCTCAATGGAGCAGAGGGAAAGATAAGGGGAACGATGTTACCGGGTAGGAACACTGCTGGGGGACTGGAAGTGGACCAGTCAGCGAGAAACGAACGGGAGAGTGGACAATGCTGCACAAATCGAACATCAGAAACACACTAGCACACTGTGCGTTAGGGATAAGTGTTAGCCCAGACGGCTACATCAAACCACAAAGGAAAAACCAAAAACAAAAACAAACGACACTAAGTGCAAGCTCCGCACACATGGAGCAAACACACAAAAGTCTAAAACGAAAAAGAAAACACACTGAGACGGGCAACGAGTACAGCCTACTCGTCGCCAAGATCGTCGAGGTCGATGTCGTTCATGAATGCGTCATCATCCGCAGCGCCAGTAGCACCGTCATGTGGAGGGGAGTCATCCCAGGGAGTCCTCCAGACAGGTGGCTCGCCCGGGAGCAGCTGGAGCAAGTGCTGCTGGACCTCCTGCATGCGCCGGGAACGGCGCTTCTCCCGCTCGATGTGGGCAAGAGTCACGCCCTGCTGAGTCGAGATCGTGTTCAGCCGCTCGGCATAAGCATCCATCCTGGTCCGGTACTCGGCCTGGTCGGCCGCATACTGCTGATGGAACTGCATCTGGTGATCGAGGAGCAGCTGGTTCTGGATCCTCAGCTGCTCGAACTGCTGGGCGAAGTAATCCTGGCCCTGGAAAGCGGAGCTGCTACCCCCGAAATGGAAGTCAGTCTGTGGGGGATTATCATCAGCATCAGCAGCAGCATCCACCTCCTCAGGATCCACCTCATCGGCAGCCTCCTCCTCCTCTGGTACGGGCTCCGCGGGGATCGGAGGCTCCTGAAACCCATCGACCCATTGAACACCGTTCCTCTCCCGCAACAGCAGCATCTTCCTGATCGTCGTGCGGCCAAAGATGAGGGTGTCCCCCTCCTCGGTGCACCCCTGCAGTGAAAGGCCAAAGAAGGTGGCCAGGCGGGTGATGAGGGGGGCGCAGTGGAGGCTCTTCAGCTCTGTGGCCGTCTTCTCGAAGGTCTTGGCCACCACTGAACCCAGGTGGAGAGGATGGCGGCGCTGGCGGATCGAATGGAGGAAGTACAGGGACCTCTTCGTGATGGCGCCGGCGCTGTCAGCTGCAGGAGTGTAAGACTTCGCCAGCAGGTGGTGGAGAAGTCGGTTGTCGATCTGCAGGGTAGAGGCCTTCGTCCTCCCGGACCGGAAGGGACGCGTCTGGCCTGGCCGAGCCAGGCTGGTGTACAGCCTCCCGAAGTCCACCTCCGGTGGCTCATTCACCTCGGTGACGTAGTCCTCACGGTCGTCGAGGTCGAGGTCGAGAGCCTCGGCCAGCTCGTGGTAGCTCAAGGACCGGGGGACCCCGCCCAGCCTGAATTGGACGGCCGTACCGTCCTGCCAGTTGTCCGTGGTATTGTGCTTGAAGGTCGTGTAGAACTCCCACACCGGCTCGTAGTAGACCTTCTCGCAGAGCTGGAGCAGACGGCGCCAGGCGGTGTTGGCGACCGCGGCGGAGAGCTGCTCGTAGCAGTGCAATCGCCGAAACTCCCGTTTGGACCAGCAATGGTGTGACCCAAACGGGGTTTCCGCGACCTCCTTGAAGTGCTCTGCGGTGGGTCCCCTCCTCAGATCCCGGATGAACGGGTGCTGGAAATTAGGTTTCGCCATTGCCCTGGAGACTCAAGTAGAGGTGTAGGGAATGATGAGGGGAAGACAATGGAAGTGACGAAACGCCGAAAAACTGGCCGAAAATGCTCGTCGGAGTCTCGCCGGAGTCTCGCCGGTAATCGCCTCCGGCGACAAAAACGTCGCCCAAATTCGCTCAAAATCGAGGGATAGGCCGCTTTGGGTGTAGAAAGAGTGGGTTTGTAGTTGGTTTGGTGAAAAAATTACCCAAAGTGGCCGAAAAAATCGAAAAAAGGTGGGTTTTGCGCGGTTTTCTGGCGAGGGCAGAGGATTCCGGCGAGTGGTTTTGGTTTTCTGACCACAATGGCCGTGCAGGCCATATAAATAGGCCGTGCCTAGGCTGCACGGGCATGGGCGCACGGCCGTGCAAGGCTGGTTTTTGCCCGTGCAGCCGACACGGCCTGGCCGAGGAGAAGCGCACGACCGTGCACCTGGCACATATGGCCGTGCCATCCTTACCGAGAGCTCGCACGGCCAAGGGGGAATACCCGCACGGCCATGCGAGGCATTATGGTGCCCGTGCAAGACGCACGGCCAGGCCAGGACGAGTGCACGGCCGTGCATTAAGCGCTTTTGGCCGTGCGCTTTTGGCCGAGAGCTCGCACGGCCAAGGGGGGTTCCCGCACGGCCGTGCAAGTTGTGTTCCTGGCCGTGCGACTTGTTGGAGTCCCGAAATCAACCTGTTTTCGCTCAAAAACGACACGTAACTCTGGATCAACGTCTCAAGACTCAAAAACACACAAAATCAAAGGAAAAAGAGTAAGAAAATGCAAACCTCGGTGGGGTTGCCTCCCCACAAGCGCTTCTTTACCGTCTTTTAGCTGGACGCCAGTATGGATGCTCAGGGAAGTGTAGGATCAGGTGCCTTCAAGAGCGGATCCACATCGCTCTTGAGGTACAGCTTCAAATGGTGGCCATGCACGTGACGAATGTGGCCACCTGCATTCGCCAGCTCAACTTGGCCATCCGGTAGGATGCAAGCGAGTGAATACTCGGATGGCCAAGGAGGGGGCGGGACCAGCTCATAGTGGTCTCCGGCTTCCTTTCGAGCAGGCTTAGCTGCCGGCAGTTTCGGCCGCCACTCCTCCTTGATCTGTTCTTTGGGTGACGGAGTGGTCCGGAGTGGCGGCGAAGGTGTGGGAGGCGGTTCCTGCAAAATAGGCAGCACAGAAGGATACACGACAGACTCGTGCTCCTGTGAGATACAGCATGCAGAGGTGACGAAGCAGGTATATTATCAGCAACAGAAAACGTTATTCGCTCCTCGCCATCCCTCAAAACTAAGGTCCCATCATGCACATCTATGAGAGCCTTGGCGGTGGCCAGGAAAGGCCTTCCCAGTATAAGAGGCACTTCTGTGTCCTCACTGATGTCCAAGATAACAAAATCCACGGGATATGTGAATTTGCCAACCTTAACCAGAAGGTCTTCCACTATACCCCTAGGATGCACTACAGATCTGTCAGCTAATTGAAGGGTCATCCTAGTAGCACGGGGTTCACCTAGGCCTAGTTTCATGAACAATTTATATGGAATAACATTGATACTAGCACCTAAATCCGCCAAGGACTTCTCTACATGCAATTTATCAATAGAGAACGGGATAGTAAAACTACCTGGGTCCTTCTTCTTCTGCGGAAGCTTGTTTTGCAGAATAGCCGAGCATTCCTCGCTGAGCTCTACCGTGGCCAGCTCACTCAGCTTCTGCTTCTTTGAGAGAAGCTCTTTCAGAAACTTCGCATACTTTGGCATTTGCGATAGTGCCTCCAGGAAGGGCACTTGGACATTCAGCTTCTTAAGCATGGCGATGAAGTTCTCGAACTCTTCCTCCAGCCTGTCTTTGTGCAACCGAGTAGGGAAAGGGAGTTTAGGGACATACTCCTTCACTACTGGTTGCGGTTTAGGTGCAGGCACCTCAACTTCCTTCTCTACTTCCTGTTCAACCGCTGGAGCCGCTAAGACAGGGCTTTCTTTCTCCGGTTCCCGAGCAGGGGGATCAACAGTCATCTTGCCACTCCTGGTCATGATGGCATTGCAGCGCTCATTCGGGGTCGGCGGGTGAGGGATGGTCTGCCCTGGTAGAGTACTAGGAGCCCTTTGAGCCACTGCCTGGGCCACGCTCCCCAGCTGGGTCTGGATATCCTGCAAAACAGCCCATGTATTCCTCTGACCAGCTTCCAGAGCCAGGAGTTGACCCGAGGCCTTCTCCATGAATTGCTCAAAGGTGTTGAATTTCTGAGCACTAACACTGGCAAGAGAACCCACCAAGTCCCGCAGTTCAGCCATCTGATCATTCTGCACTGGGGCAGCAGGGGCTGCACCTGGCTGCTGGAATTGCCCCTGTCTGGGCTGATATGGTGGCCTCTGGAAGCCCGGTGGTCCCTGTGGAGCTGGTGGTCTGGGATTTGGCCCAGTCCAGGAGAAGTTAGGATGCTGGCGCCACCCCTCATTGTACGTGTTGCTGTAGGGATCATTGCGCCTGACATTGTTGATGAAGTTCACCTGCTCCTGGGGCGTGGTCGATTCCTTCATCGCCTGGCAGTCTTCCACCATATGATGGGTGCTCTCGCACCACTGGCAGAGCATCGCCTGCTGCTGTCCGGTCCCTGGAATCATCCCGGAACGATCGATAGCTGAGACCAGCTTCGATACTACCTGCACCAAATCGGATGACTGGGTGCCCACAGCATGCACACCCCGGCCTGGTGCTCTCCTCGATCTCCTGGCAGTGCCCCAATCATAACCATTCTCCGCCATCTCTTCAAAGAGTTGATTCAGCTGTGGCAGGGTTTTGGTCAGCATGTTCCCGCCACAAACCGAATCGATCAGCTGCTTGTCCTCCGGGAAGAGGGCGTGGTAGAAGGTGCCCACCTTGAACGCATCGTTGAAACCATGATTGGGACACCTGAGGAAAAGACTGTTGTACCTCTCCCATGCATCCCTGATGGTCTCATCCTCATCCTGAACAAAATGTGTAATTTGCTTCTGCAGGTCAGCTGTCTTGGATGGAGGATGGTAGCGGGTGAGGAACTTGTCCGCCAGGTTGGCGAACGTGGTGATGGAGCCCGGAGATCGAGTGTCTAGCCACTCCTTGGCCTGCCCCTCCAGAGTGAATGGGAAGTACCTCAGCTGGATGGCATCTGCTGGTACCCCATTGATCTTGATTCCATCGATGAGCTCGTGGAATCGCCTGAGATGTGATCGAGGGCACTCTCCCTCCTTACCACGGAACACTACTGAACCGCGCAGCATGGTGATCACGGAGGTGCTCACCTCAAAGTTGTTGGCTGGGACCTGAGGGTGCTGAATGGGTGACCTCATGTCCGCAGCCCTAGCGGTCCAGTAGGAGCCCATGGTCTGCTCCTCGGGGATCACAGCATGGTTCCCTGGTTCAGCCATCTCTTCTTCTTCCTCCTCTAACTGCAGCTGTGATAGCGCCTCCTCCGCAGCCAGTCGCGCCTTTAGAGCCCGCTTGAAGTTTCTGCAGGTTCGTTCAAGCTCCTGGTCTAGTGGTAGTAGATCTCCCGACTGGCTACGGGTCATGCACTACCTGCACACAATCAGCAGAAACAACCCGTGAAGGCACACAGGTGGAAGAAATAAAAAGCAGAAAATAAAAGCTAGAGTAACAAATTCTCACGTTTCCCCAATAACCTAGAGGTTCCCCGGCAACGGCGCCAAAAACTTGACACGCTAAAACACAACACCAATCTGCGACCAAGTGTAATCGCAGACCGGGAATGCAGTAACAGGCAAGTTATATTATCAACCCGGGGTCTAGATCTACTGCTTACTCAGTGATTCTCTGTTATCTAGCCAACTAGAGTAAGTGATTGTTGTTTAAACTAAAAAGCAGAAATAAAGCAGGAAATTATTCGGTTTTCTTAAGCAGGAAAGAGTCACTCGGGAATGAATCCCCCTAGCTCTTTAGTTAGGTTTCAATTGCAATTTACCCTGGGTTGATTTACTGTTGATTAGACTGCGGAAGATCCGGCAGTAGCTTGGAATCTCTTAAGCTGACCAAGCCCTCTCAGTCTAACTACCCGGCAGACGACTAGTCTTCACCGGGATAGAAAGCTGAAGCAGTAAGAACAGAAATTCACTACTGGAATTAGATTCCAGTACAGAGCAGTAAACTGGCTAACTCTCGTATAACCAGTCTCCTACTATCGAATGATGAGACTCTAGCAACCTAATCAGATTCTATCTATCATAGGTTAAAGCAGAAATCAAGAGAATTTGATCAGACTTCCAATTGACTCAATAAATCATGCCTCAATCGATTATAATCAAACAATAAAGCATCCAAAACTTCATACAAGAAAGATCCTAACTCATGGAACTAGGGTTCCTCAAAACCTAAGTGAAGGGAAGTTACTCCATAGAGAAGAGAGAGACTGCAGAAATCTGATCTAGATCTTCAATCTCCATCTCCAAGCTTGATTCCCGAGCTCCAATGGCGAAGAAATCCTCCAAAATAGCTCCAAGAAAGTTTCCAAGTCGCTCTCTCTCTCTAGGGTTCGTCCCTTGGGTGTTTGGGATCCAAAACCCCAGCTCTCCTCTCCTTTGGCTCGAATTTGGGTTAAAAACAGTCATTCCCGACTCGCATGGCCAGGGTGCACGGCCGTGCACATCACCATTCTGGCCGTGCACCTCAAAACGCGGCGTATCAATTAGTTGAACCTCAGCCAACTCGCACGGCCAGAATTGTATGTTGCACGGCCGTGCGGATTTCACTTGTGCCCGTGCGTGCCCACGCACAATCCCGCACGGCCAAACTGGTCACTTGCACGGCCGTGCGTGGCCACGCACAATCCCGTGCGTGCCCACGCACGATCCCGCACGGCCAAACTGGTCACTTGCACGGCCGTGCGGGTTGTGGGTGTGCCCGTGCGACTTCCTCAGAACCTCGCCATGCGTCCGATCCTCGTCCAATCGACCCCAGACTCGCTCCTAAGCCTTCATTCACGTCCTAGGACCTGAAATATCACAAACAAGCACAACCTACCGTGAAATCGGCCTAAAACACGAGAATCAACACCTCAAACGGTGTAAGAATGGGGGTAAAAACATGTGTAAATGACGGTCTATCAATGACACAGCGCCGAATCACGCCGTCTGTTCCGATTCTGAAGAGGTAAGGATCCTCCCAGAAGTAATGCTTCAGATCGGAGAAGAACTTGCTCTTTGCATGAGTAGCCATCCCCTTGGGTAAGTGCTTGCCCACCAGATAATTGGCAAAGTTAGAATACCAAGGGGCCACGCTGTCCACCAGTGTCATCGCCAGCAATCGCTCACCCGGGAAGGAGTCATCAATCTCTTCCACGAAGTTGTCCACCGGAGGGGCTTCCAATCGTGAAAGATGATCTGCAGCAACATTCTCGGCTCCTTTCTTGTCCTGGATTTCTATGTCGAATTCCTGCAGAAGCAGGATCCAGCGGATGAGCCGAGGCTTTGCATCAGCCTTGCTCATCAAGTAGCGAATCGCCGAGTGATCTGTGTAGACCACCACATGGGAGAGCACCAGATATGGCCGGAACTTGTCA